TTTTCATTCATATTTATTACTATTCATAGTGTTACACTAACTGCAAAGTGGTTCGTAGTTAATTGTTTATCTTCTCCAGACAATGCGAAGCCTGCATAAAGAACCTGTGATTTGGAAGTTTGCCCAGAGTCAGGAGCAGATACACTTGGTGTCTAGGAAGTGAGGGTAAAAGCATGGGATACATTGTTCTGATGCGTCGTGATGTCTTCAGCGAACTAATTTTTCTTTAATGTCTGCCATGAGGGGGCAGTTTATAAGTCTTTTTAATTTTTAAAAAGATTTATTCATTTTTATTTTATGTCATTGGTGTTTTACCTATGTCTGTGTCTGTGTGAGTGTGCCAGATCCCCTGGAACTGAAGTTACAGGTGGATGTGAGCACCATGTGTGTGCTGGGAATTGAACCCTGGTCCTCTGGAAGAGCAGCCAGTGCTCTTACCTGCTAAGGCATCTCTCCAGCCCCAGTTTACAAGTCTTATACCAGGTAGTGAAAAAATTATTTTCAAATTAATGAAGAGGAACAGAAAGAAATACTTGGTGGTTGTTTTCAAAGCGCTCGTGATAACTAAAAGGAGTGGAGTCGTTTCTGCATTCTTAGATAGTAATATTAATATTAAAAGAAGGTAGCAATCTACCTTGAACTGAAAGGACTCAGACATGAGTGCGCTGACTCTCTTTAGCCCCTGGGGTTAGCATTAATTACAGTGCTTGTCAGGTAGGGAACCTCTGCTGGCTTTTGTTCTCTGTAGCTGCTGCTGCTGTTGCCTCCTCCTCTTCCTCCTCCTCCTTTTCTTCCTCCTCCATCTTAAGTCAGTAATTAATTGCATCCCAAGTTTATGGACTCGAGAATAACTTGAACATTATTAAATGGCAGGTCTCCTGTTTCCGTCTGGACCATCAGTGAAACTGATGATCTGGCTTTTTTCAAGCACACAGTCTAGAATTGTTAATTACGCAAACATCTCTTTAAAATAGGAGACAGTTAAAACTCAGTGCAGGGGCTGAAGAGATGGCTCAGCGGTTACGAGCCCTTGTTGAGGACCTGGGTTTGATTTCTAGCACCCAAATGACATCCATTACTCCAGTTTTAGGGGACCCAAAGTCTACTTCTGACCTCTAAGGACACCACCAGGCGTGCATATGGTGTACAAACATTCATGAAAACAAAATATTCATACATATGAAATAAAAAATAAATCTAAAGAAAGCAATTAAATTTAAAGCAGTACAGAACCAGGAAAGCTGTTTTTTTAAGGTTCTGAATCTCACATGCACCATAAAGATGAAGTTGTATAGTCAGAAAACAGCAAGCTTGTTATCTGGGTATTTCTTTTTTTCCAATTCATCCATTCATTACTGATAGTGTGTGTGTGTGGTGTGTGCCTGCCTGTGTTCACTGTGGTGTGTGTGTGTGTGTGTGTGTGTGTGTGTTTCAGCTTTTATGAACCAGTACTCTCCTTCTGCCTTGGTGAGTCAGGCTCCCTTGTTTTTCTGTCATGCTACAAACTGCAAGCGATCTAGGAGACTTCCATTAACTCGCCTGTCTCTAGCTCCCGTCCTGCCTCAGGATACTGTTCTCTACATTTCTTTCAGTTGGACAGGTGTGGGGCAGGCTCATTTCTTATTTCTTCCTGATTCCTTTACTCCACCAAATGATGAGCCCTTCTCTCTAAATAAATCATCGGTTCTCCTTTCACAAGAAATTTAGCAACGTCTAAATGGGCAGGGAACTTGTCCACCCATTCTGCCGGTTTATTAATATCAACATCTAAAGTCATAGATGAACACCAGGGGAGAAAGAAAAACTAAAAAACAACCAGGAACGAAATCTAATACCACACATTCTGCTCTCCTTGGGCTCCTGCTGTCCAAATTTTGTGGCAACTTTAAATTCCCTCAACATATCAAACCTACAACTAATCCTTGCTGCAGACTTAGCCGGTTATAGAAAGATAACGATAAGTACTTTTTAACATATAAACTACTGCAGTATGTTTTTCCACAACCAACCTTGTGTTTAACTAGCCACCGTGTTAGAAACTTCAGGGAATGGATTTGAGTCCCTGCAACCATCAAAGCAGCACAGGTCCGCCCCGAGCCAGCTTCCCCACACCTTGTCAGCACAACCCATGGATCTAGCCAGTAAGGAAGACTAGAGCTTTGGAGGAAGGAAGCCAGAGACAGAATTAGTTGAGAAATCAAGTTTGAATCTGGTAGGTCTTTCCAAGTGAGGCCCTCCATTGGGATTGGGTAAGAATCAGCCAACAGCAGCCATGTGGGCGGAACCAGCAAGGGGAGGGCTTGAAGCGGGGGTTTATATAACTCTCTCTCATCAACATTGCTGATACTTCCAGCGAAAGAACTGATAGAGCCCTCAAGAAGTCTGCCCCTACAGTGAGCATCCACCATTCACTCAGGCAGGAGGCTCCCTCAGATGAAGCTGGCACCAGAGTCAGGACCAGTGCAGCTTTTGAATGGTAGACCAGAAGGTGTGCTTTTCACAGTCAGTATGAGCCGGCTGTGGGCTGCCAGTGAGGTGCAATAAGCCCAGACTGCCCAGAGGGGCAGCAGAGGGCACTCCAATCTGTGGAATTACTGAAAACGACCACCCTGCATTGCAGGGGTGAGGGTGGGGTGGGGAGGGGTGTGTGTGCAGGGAGGGGCAATTATTAAGAGGTAACTAAAGGTGAAAATGACCACCCTTTGAAATGCCACCTCTGTTTTCAGGCCACCGTCTCTTTCCCTTTAAGCTGGAAGCAAGAAAATGAGGTAGGGGCCCTTGAGACCAGTTGTAGGTTCCTGCATAGGATTTCAATTCCATTACTGCCTCTACTCAAGGCTCTCTCCCCACCCAGGACACACATTGGTAATCACAGTTTCCCAAAAGCACAGGAAGAGACTGTGGGCCAGGAAGGATGCTCGGCCATGAAGAAACTGTCCTGGGTGAAATATCATGAATGCTTAACATCTGAAAGGCGTGTGAACACTGTATTTACATATAAATGGAGATGGAAGGTTCTTATAGGTTATGTTCCTTGAAGGTGTGTGTGGCAGTGCACATGGCTGGGATCTATTGTTTATTTGCACTGTAAATCCTTTGAAACGTGTTAAAATGCTTCCCACTCATTATAAAGCTCCTGCCACCCCCTGGATTACGACTTTGATGTCACCAATCCCGCTTCAAAGGGTTCTTTGCAGGCTATTAATCACAGTTTAGCCTCTGAAGATATCAGCAGAGAAAACATTTTGACATCTCTGTGCTAGACTTGCTAAAACTTTGAAATCTTGAGCGTCTTGCATATGCACACATGGCAGCCTTTCCTTTCATTGACAAGTTTTCATTCTGTTCCACAATCAAATGACTCTGTAAGTAAAAATGCAGACAAATGTTTTCACACTGGGGGTGGTGGAGGGCGGAGGGTAAATAGGGGAGGGAGGAGAGAGCCTGAGAGATTCCTCAGCCCTCAAAGGTAAGTCACAGGAATGAGCGTGGGCAGAGGCTAGCTGGCCCATGTCTGTTGGATGAGCATGGGCAGGGGCTAGCTGGCCCATGTCTGTTGGATGAGCGTGGGCAGGGGCTAGCTGGCCCATATCTGTTGGATGAGCGTGGGCAGGGGCTAGCTGGCCCATGTCTGTTGGCACTTGCTTTTCACTGACTGATGCTTACAGAGGGCAATGGAAAGATCTCTTACCTTCCACACTTTGCTTTAAGACCTACAGGAATTGTTCATAGTGAACCATAGTGAGCCCAATGGTCACTTGTCCAAGTGCTTGGGAGCAGAAGCCTGTCAAGGTGTTGGATTTTCAAATTTGCAGATTTGCATTTGAGAGTGTTCACATCTGCATAATGGGCTGCCTCGGGGATGGGAACCTAGTCTAAACACAGGATTTAGGTTCCACATATATGCATATATGTACCTGAAGGCAATTTATACCATATGCGTATGTGTGTATATTATTAGTGTATAGACACATATAAATAAGCAATACAGGTTGTATGTATGCATACATTGTACACCTTGGAGCTGTACTATCAGTCCCTATTTTATACAATATACACAATAATTTAGTTTTCTTATTTTTTTTGTTTTTTTTTTGTTTGTTTGTTTGTTTTGTTTTTTGAGACAAGGTTTCTCTGCATAGCCCTGGCTGCCGTGGAACTTGCTCTGTAGACCAGGCTAAACTTGAACTCACAGAGATCCTCCTGTCTCTGCCTCATGAATGCTGGGATTAAAGGTACACACTACTACACCTGACCATAATTTTTTATGTATGTGGTTGATGTAGTTCAGCACCAGGGCCTGAAGAGCCAACACTTAGCATGTACAAGACCCTGGACTCAATCTCTAATGGTCAACACAATAATAATAGTCTAGTTCTATGCATGGAACAAAATTCAAGGTGGAGTGGGTAGTTCCACTCAGGGCATCCTGTCAGTGCTCAAAAGTGTTGCTCTTGGAGCATCTGGAGATTGGGTTTTCATATTTAGGGATGCTCAGCTTGTGCCATTAGATCACATTCATTGTCAAGACCAAAAGCGGTGAAACTTTCCTGTGGACATTTTATAGTCTTTAATCTTATATTTAAGCCCTCAATATTCAAGTACTCATTTTTTTTGTTTTATGGTGCACGCACGTGTGTGTGTGTGTGTGTGTGTGTGTGTGTGTGATGTATGTATGTATGTATGTATGTATGTGAGTGAAGGCACAGGAATGCCATGGCACACTTTCAGAGGTCAGAGAACAACTTGTAGGAGTCAGTTCTCTCCTTCCACCAATGTGGGACCCAGAGACCACACTCAGGTTGTCTCTGGGTAAACACCTTTACCCACTGAACTATCTTGCCAGCTCAAAAGTTTTCAATTTTTTTTTTAATTCTTAAGATACCAATCAGAAAACTCAGAAAAATACAAGGATACAAAAGGAGAAATTATTCATAACTCAATTCCTTAACTTTTCCTTCATTTTAAGTGTTTTGTTTTGTTTTGTCTTTTTTGCTCAGGTAATTTGGCCCAGACAAGAGCTAGGATCACAGCGTCTTCACGGTCTTTGCCTCCACATTTCAGTGCTGGGAGAGCCAAGGTGAGCGGCAGATTTGTACCACTGAGGGGGTTAAGTGGATGTTGTCTTGGAGCTAATGTGGAGTGAGCAATATCGCTTCTCTCCATCTGCCGCTGACCACACAGTCTAGAAAAGAGACTGGCAGTATTTAGGAGCCACGTGGATTTTTGAAAATTTAGAAAATTTGAATTGTGAGACCATTACAATCCTGAGAGTCAGAAAAAAAAATACCTAACATGGAGAAAAATGACATATAAATGAAACCTTCCTAGGAAGAGATAAACCATCGCCACCCTGCAGAAGGTAAGTGAGACCAGATAGAATCAGAGAGGAGAAAAAGAACCCAACCCACTCCTCCCCTCTAAAAGTGAGTTCTATTTATGATCCCATGTTAGGAGGGCTCATAAATATCCAACCATAAAATGGTATCTAGCTCTTCTGCCCTTCCAGCTGATGTTTAGACAGGACCTCAATGTCTATTGTGTGTGTAGACAGTTCTCCCACTCGTCTGTGGATTGGCTATCTGTGGCGTTAGCCACCAGTGGTCAATCATGATTCAAAAATACGAAGTGGAAAATTCTCCCTTGGGAGAGAAGTAAGAGTTTAAGTACTCCTAAGAACTTCCTGATCTGACAAGATAACATTGTTTGTATTAAATGTAGTTGATTCTTGTTATTTGTAAAATTTATGATCGGTAAATTCTCTGCAATCAGCAGCGCTGAACCATTGCCCCTAGAGGGTAATACAAGGTTAGGTTCCAGCAAGACTCTGGTCAGAGCCAACCAATAAATACCTAACCCTCAATTTCTGTGTTTTTGTTTGAAGACACCTAGTTATACATACATGCACACACATACCTTCCTTATAGCTAATTCTGCTCAGTGTTCTTTATAAAAACCATATTTCACTTGCAGCCCCTGTGGTATTAAACTCACAGACAGTGTCACAGTAATTCTTGCCCGAGGGAAGCTCGCTAGTATTCATCTTCTGCATGAGGCTCATCACTCTCTATGTACTTAGAAATGCAATACAGTACTTCAGCATCACAGGTGGGGCCCCCAAACTGAAAATTCACCGACAAAGCACATAGAAATGCAAAACCAGAGTCATATAAACAGACCCATATAAATAGAGCAGACTCTTGTCTGTGGTAGGAAAGCTGAACTGGAAGGACTGGCTGGGACCCTTTGATTCTAACTTTCCATTGCTGTCATTCTGTGAATGATCAGGAAGGCATTGGTGACGGACATTGGGGCTACACATACATTTTTGCAGGTAGGCAAATCAAAAGATATAGAATCTATACATTATGATGGTGGTCTCTAGTGTGGGCTTTTTTTTTTTTTTGTAATTATTGGCTTCCACAAAATTCTAAATGAGATCATAACACAAAAAAGATTCCCTTTTGTGCCAAGTTCCTTTCTTTTTTACACCTGATTTCTGAATTTGGAACCCTGCTAGGACCTATGCCCCTGCCCTCCACACCTGGAACCAGCATGGTGCAGTCTCCCTCCCTGTTCCATGTAGTACTGTCCAGGCCTGCCCACCTGAGAAGTGTGCGGTGTACATTTAAAACATACACGTGATGAGAACACAGGACTAGAGGTTTACTTTCTTCTTTGGATGAGCTGAAAGTTCTGATTAAAGCATTCAAAAATATGAAGACAACAGTGATACACACACACACACACACACACACACACACACACACACACACACACGGGCAAGCATGGGGGTATACATCTATAATCCCAGTGCTGGAGCCACAGATTCAGGGCCAGGCTGCATTCAAGACCATGCTATGTTAGTGAGACAACCTCAAAAAGCAAAGCAAAACAAAGCAGCTAACATTTGGGTACTGCCTTATCTAAGAGAACATGATGGAAGTAGCTTTCCATGAAGCTGGACTTTGTAGGGGAAAAAGATTACTATCTGTTCATCACCCATCGCAAAGTTCCTGGTTTAGAGCCTCATTTTAAAAGACACACTTGGGTGACGAGCAAGGAAGACTCGAAGGCACAAGGAAACTGTCCGATCAGCCAGGCAGAGATACTCAGAGGACAAAACTTAGCAAGACTTGTCAGTTCCGATCCTTCCTTCCCATCTAAGGTAAGACACCTGCAGGCCTTGAGGGGAGTAGGGAGGTGAGAGAGGGAGCTGCCGAGGCTTTATGGACTGCTTCAGAGCAGAGGCCTTTCTGCTTCTGCTGTTTACACAGACTCGGGGTGGGGGTGGGGGTGGGGGTGGGGGGTTCATCTTGTACCTGGGCTGCACCAGCCCTCGTGGGGCTGCTGGCAGGGGCGGCCACAGAGCCTTCTGAGAGGGGCGGTGCTGTGGGGCTCTTCCTAAGAGCTGGGCATATCTGTCGCTTGGTAGCAGTAAAAATTCTTGACAAAGGGCCTTTTCAAGAGGATGAGTAGAGGCACTTCTGAAGTTTTAGGATGCAGAGGGTGGGCACTTACCCAGACCAGGAGAAAATTTATCAGCTTTTCCTTGGGTTTATGGGATTGTTTAGAGTCCATATGTTTATGGTAGAGTAAATTCAGTTGACTGGTGAGGCAGATCTGTGTGATTATGCCATACTTTCAGACTTCTGTTTTGTAGATTATATCAAAGCACATAGATGGCAGTGTATAGTAAGGCTTAGAAACCAGAACAGGTTTCAGACCTAGACATTGTATACACTGGCTGCAAGACTGTGGGACACTTACCTAAAAATCGATGGGTCTTAACTTTTCATATGCAGACTGGCATAATAACTGTTCTTGCATCTGAGTATCATTTGGAGAATTCCGTGACAGTGTGGGCAGAGGGATTCCATGGACAATACACTCAGTCAGTATTTGCTTTGAGTTTTGACAGCCTTCTAAGATTCTCTTATGGAATGAGTCTGTATATGAAAGCCTGTGGCGGACTGGAGTCTGAGACCCAAGGTGTTAAGTTATTCATGAGAACCCAGAAGGTTAATTAGCGCCGTGTTCAAGGAACCAGGCAGGACAGTCACACCAGCAGAAAGTGAGCTTGCTCAGCTCCTGCTGACTTAGATTGCTGAAGTTCTTGGAATGGAAATGACCCCAACAGTGAGCTGTTTCCTCTGTGAAATACAGCACTGAGCATGCCGGTGATGAATTGCAGACCGGTGCTAGCATTCCCAGGATGTGGGTACGAAGAACAGGCTCCCACTCTGCAGTTATGCGGAAATACAGATGCTAAGTGGTCACACAGGGGTTCTACTCACTTGGGAGCCCCCTCTGCCCACAGCAGCCTTAAAGCTTCTGAGTATGAACTGGTGCTTTATTCTGTATTTTTCCATTTTATTGTAGTTGACTGATTTTAGTGAGCTTCAAAACAGTAAGTATTATTCCTTTGAAACAGTGTCACACTAGCTGGTAGGTAGACAGACTCCACTAGTGAGGTGGGAAGATGGGATTGCTTATGCCCATGAGTTCAAGCTGTTACCAGAATGCCTAGGCATGAAGCTTAGTGCTAGGTCCAAAAAAGTCACTCATGCTAAGAGAAAAGACATTTTAATTAGGTAGATAGATAAATATCTAGATAGATTATAGAGTCACAGATGATAGGTAGGTAGATAGGTGGTAGATAGATATATGATAGATAATAAGTAAATGATGATAGGTAGGTAGATAGCCAAATAAATAATAAATAGGTAGATGACAGATTAATAGTAAATGATGATAGGTAGATAGATGATCAATAGATAATAGGTAGACAGATGATAGATAATAGGTAGGTAGATAGATAAACTGTGCCTTTCCTATAGTAGTAGAAAAGATATATTTTATAGAAAAGATAAAAGTCAGGAAACACACATATGCAGATGAAGCTGTGTGTCCCAGTTACTTGAACTGGGAGATGAGTCTCTCTTCTGGTAACTCTGTGGGCTCTTGAGATAGGTCATTTTCAGTCCTAGCCCAGTACTTTCTGCAGGGATCCTAATTCCTAGGCGTGGTTACAGGAACAGTCTGGACAACACAGTGATAACTCCATCTCAAACGAATTGATAGAAATTGTGTCTCAGTTATCGGTCAATTCCCCAAATGCCGAGGGATCGCTAGTGTTCTGGGGCAGAGGGACCAGCCAATCTATCAGCACCTGCTAATAGAGAAACAGAGGAACTGCCGGGCTGCCCTGAGCATTGGGGGGCAGCTCAGTAGCTAAGCTGAATAAAAGCGTGTGTGAGAGGGGGGTATTGGAGGAAAAGTGAGAAGAAAGCAAGAGGTGTTTCTTTAATGAGAATTTTTAAGTCAACGGAAATGGTGGCAAAATTCCCGGAAGTTGTGTAGATGAGGTGAGGTGAGAGGGAAGATAAAAAGAAAAGGTTGAAGAAAATTCCCAAAATTTACTATCAAGCTGAAGGCTGACCCTAGCTAGGGTCCTCTCTTCGGACCTGATTAGAGTTCCCCAGCTCTTACCAGGCCTGAGAATGAGAATGATGGGAAATCTGCAATGGACACCCTTCAGGTCTCTTTCTTTCTGCAGGTGGGGTGGGGGTAGTGGAGTTCTTTTCCCTTACTTCTCACCTGTATGAGAGCAGCCTTCCTTCAAAACACACTTTTCCTTTCCTCTTTTCTTCCTGAAAAAAAAAAAAAATTCCCCTGGGCAGGCAGGAAGGTCACCGAGCAGCCTGTGTGTGAACCGCTAACACCAAGTGCAGCCCAGGAGAGGGAGAGCTGGAAAGCCTGATGCTTCCACACTCAGCTCACATCCTGCCGGCTGCACAGGAGGTTCCTTCAGACCTTTCACTGTCTTAAGACTATGTCTCCCCAGGTAGCACAGGCTAGCCTCAAACTCTCCATCCTCCTGCATCAGGATCCCGAGTGTTCTGTTTATGAATGCATCCCTATGCCCAGCTACTTCAAGTTTTTGATGTCTTAGAGCCACACTTTCTCCCCTTCTTAAATAAACCTGCATTCTTTAATTCAGCTGATGTGTTTCCTCCCGCTCCTTTAGGATATATCCCTCCAGTTGGGCACCATTATCCCCTTGCCCCCTGTGAATTTTTCAATTCCTGTGAATAAGACTACAGATGTCCTCACCCCATGGGGAGGATGGGCCTGGACAGCAGTCCACTGTGCAGAAACCACATACTGATAACAGTGCCCTCCTGTTTCAAAGTCCTCGCTTCACACCCTTGTCGCTTGTTTTGATCAGATGGGAAGCTCCATCAGACTGAAACGCCAGCCAGGGTCCTCCCCAGCCAAAGCAGGTTTTGTTCTTGGCCTATGATGAGGAAACACGGGCTGCTTGCAATCTATTGCTATAATCATTTCCATCTGCTGTTCCTTCCAGTCAGCCCAGGTAGTTACAGAGATGATTGACAGCAGGTTATACCACTGGAAACTTCCTGATTGATTTGGTGCCCCACCTCCTGCTTGCAGGGAGCATGTGGGAACTGTGGTGGTTAGGAGCATGCTGAGCATCAAGATCTAACGGTTTGGATGTAACTGATGCTGGCCTAATTCTCTGTGGTACAACTGGGCCTGGGGTCTGCTAGGGGTTGAACATGGAATGTCTTTCACAGGCTCCTAAGTTTGGTCCCCAGCTGTGGGCATTTTGGGAGGTGATGGAACCTTCAGGAAGGGATTCTAGCAGAAGGAATGGGTTGCTAGGGGATAGGCCTTGAATGTGAAAGACTAGCCTGGTTGCAGCCTGCTTCCTGATCCTGGAGATGAGAGCAGGCCCCTCATACTTCCACTGTCAAGTGACTCCCTACCACCATGCCTCCCCCACTGCGAGGGACTCTGTCCCCTCAAGCCAGAAGTCAAAATAAATCTTTCCACGAAAAAGTTGCTTCTTTTGAGTATTGTATCACAGCAACCAAACATAACTATACAGGGTCCATAGCCTTACATTGCACAGCCTCACAGGCCTTGGCCCAGTTTCCTTAAATGTTACACCATCTCTCTTTCTCCCCCGCCCCCTCCTCTGTTTTTAAAAATGTCTTCCAGAGGGCTGGAGAGATGGCTCAGAGGTTAAGAGCACTGACTACTCTTCCAGAGGTCCTGAGTTCAATTCCCAGCAACCACGTGGCAGCTCACAACCATCTATAATGAGTTCTGGTGCCCTCTTCTGGCATGTAGATAGAACACTGTATACATAATAAACAAACAAACAAATAAATAAATAAATGATTTTTAAAAAATGTCTTCCAGAACTCTCCTCACAGTGTACACAGTTGTGTCCTGACTAGTTCACTCCCTGAGTTTGCTGGCTAAACAGCCCCTCAGGTTTTGGAAACTGAATGGACTGTCTGTATCTTCAAATCATTTCCCTTTTCTTCTGCCCCCAGGTAGACACCCTGGAGATGATTCGTCACCCAGAAGAAACCACCAACATGAAGAGACAAACCATGGCTTCTTATTTCCGGGTATGAAGGCTGCTTCCTCTCTGCTCTGCCTGCTTCCAGGAAGGACTAGCCCAGTCTTCCCATGTGTCTTATTCAGTGTTCTATTGCTGTGAAGAGACACTGTGACCATGACAACTCCTATAAAGGAAAACATGTAATTGGGTGGCTTACAATTTCAGAGGTTTAGTCCATTATCATCAAGGTGGGAAGCATGGTGGCATGCAGGCAGACATGGTGCTGGAGAAGTAGCTGGGAGTTCTACATCTGGATTGGCCGGCAGCAGGAAGACACTGGGCCTGGCTTGAGCATTTGAAACACAAATCCCATTCCCAGTGACGTACTTCCCCCAACAAGGCCACACCTCCTAATCCCTGTCAAGTAGTGCCACTGCCTAATGACCAAGCATCCAAATCTATGGGCCTATGGGGCCGTTCCTATTTGAACCACCATACCATGTGAGGTCCAGACACGACAGTCCATGAAACCAAAGCACAAGTGCTGGTTAAGAGAGGTGTGGGCAGTCTGGTCTATGTAAACGAGTTCCAGGCCAGCCAGACTGCCACAGTGAGACCCTCCTTCAAAAAATAGGGAGAGAAAGTTATGAGAAAGGCAGAGGCTGCAGAGAGAGAACATCGTACACACAGCCCATTTTGTTGACTGTTCTGTGAGTCCTCAGGCTGCTTCTTGGCTTTAAAGCTACAGGAAATACTTTTCCGACAAACAACAATAGTTAATAAAATTTAGAAGGTGCTTTATCAAGTTTGGACATGGAGAAAAGCATTAGCTTTGTTTTTATAAATTTGGTCTATTGCAAGATGCTTTTGCCTGAGCCCTGTTGTTCCCGTTTGTTGTTGTTGTTGTTGTTGTTTGGTTTTTTTAGACAGGGTTTCTCTGTGTAGTTTTGGTGCCTGTCCTGGATCTTGCTCTGTAGACCAGGCTGCTGTCAAACTCCCAGAGATGCTCCTGGCTCTGCCTCCCAAGTGCTGGGATTAAAGGTGTGAGCCACCACCGCCTGGCCCAGCCAATGTGTAGCCCAGGCTGGCCTCGAACTCGTGATCCTCCTGCCTCTGCCTCTTTCAGCAAATTCTGCTGGTGTGCACCACCACAACTGGCTGTTGTTTCCATTTTTGCCTCCCCAGTTTCTGACATTCAATCTAGGGAAATGGCCCCTTTGTATAAGAACAATACCTTTAGAGTATACTGTTAAGTGCCCACTTTATATTGAAGATAAGATACCTGGACCCTTCCACCACTTTATACAAACCATCATGAAACAGCCATGGAGACCCCTTAGAGATCACGTACACTGGGGGAAATGGTCCAGTAGCCTCATGGCAGAGATACTGTTGCCATGGAAAAGTAGGAACCGGTCTCGTGGACAGAGGAATGAGATGGTAAGACAGTGAGGTGTTCTATGGGATGGTTGGGATAGTGGAGCTGGGTCATGAGCAGGACAAGGCAAGCTGAAGAACAGGACTTGGGAATCCGCACTGTAGATGGAGGAAGATTCCTTGGGGAAGCTATCAGGGTTCACCAAAGCTGGTGGTGTTTCAGGGGCCGAGGAGAACTGGGCTGTGGTGTGAGCTGCGGCGGCCTCAGGCCCTGCAGACCAGGACCCCATGAATGCTGCAGCTCCTGGGACAGCACCTCCAGCAAACAGCACCTCAGCCAGCAGCTTTCAGCGTCTGCTTAACTCCTCTGCTGGGATATGTGTGATTGTCCTTTCGTCCTTTTCTTCTGCACCTGTCCTGTTTGTCGGCCATGTTCTTGTCCTCCTAGTAACCCGTGTGTGTGTGTGTGTGTGTGTGTGTGTGTGTGTGTGTGTGTGTTGTATGTGCATGTGTGTGTTGTATATGCACATGTATGTGTGTGTGTTGTATATGCATGTGTGTGTTGTATATGCACATGTATGTGTGTGTGTTGTATATGCATGTGTGTGTTGTATATGTACATGTATGTGTGTGTGTTGTATATGCATGTGTGTGTTGTATATGCACGTGTGTGTGTGTATCTATGTGTGTGTGTGTGTATCTATGTGTGTGTGTGTGTATCTATGTGTGTGTGTGTGTGTGTGTGTGTGTGTGTATCTATGTGTGTGTGTGTGTGTGTATCTATGTGTGTGTGTGTGTGTGTGTGTGTGTGTGTGTTTCCCCGTGAGATTTGGAAGCTCTTTGACTGTGATGTCATCCTCATGGTTCTCAGTGTCCCTATCAGAGGACAAGTCTCTAGCTTACGGATTTCAGAAATAGGACCACACCAAACAGTTTTGTATCTTCAAAATAGCGGTCCCCAAATGCCAAAGCAAAAAAACGACATACCTTGGTCAGCTGGGGAAGACCACTTCTGTCAGTAAATGGGATGATTTGGGGTTGTAATTCCTCTGAGAGCTCCAACAATAGACAGCCCTCAGTGACACACCCCTGTCCCACAAGCAGACGTCTGGTTGTTCATGTTCTCTCTTTTTCTCTGCAAGGTATGTAATAGTTGATCTTCATCATAATCCTTTCCTCTAATAATCTTTCCCTCCTCCTCCTCCTTCTCCTCCTCCTCTTTTTTCTTTCTCTCCCTCCCCATCCTCCTCCTCCCTCATCCTTATAACCAATGTTATCAGTAGGATTTGCAGTTGTTCTCAGGTGGGATATTTTAGAGTATTGTGTATCATTATTTTGGATAGTTGAGGGCATTCCAGGCTAACCTAGAACATGTTCTTAAAGGGGTTTCCGTCGTATAGAGATACTGCTTTGGCACCAGATGTATATGGGGCGATTTCAACCTTCAGACATCTGTAGGGAGAGTTCACGATGCAATCTCCTGTGGTTCATATCATGCTCTTTCCTAACCATCCGTGAATGCTTCACAAGTCTCCCACTGTTCTGAAGGCCACAGCAGGCCCTGGTGAGTGGAGCTTCATTTCTCATGTCCTGTTCGTTTTTTCTCCCTGCTAGTATTCTCTGATGGATCTGCTCTCCAAAATGGTGGTCGGACAGCCCCACTTCGTGCGTTGCATCAAGCCCAACGATGAGCGCAAGGCCCTGTGGTTCTCGCGAGACAGAGTTCTGGCCCAGCTTCGCTCCACAGGGATCCTGGAGACAGTCAGCATCCGCAGGCAGGGCTACTCCCACCGCATCCTCTTTGAAGACTTCGTAAAAAGGTCAGACAGTGTCGTGGGTACACATCCTGTGTCTTAGCTTCACCCTGTCTGTCTCTGTCCCCCTGGCAGACTGGTCCTTCTCCCAAAACCCTCCAGAACTTCCCTCTGAACGTGTAATTGTTATTAATACCGGCTCTCATTTTCTTGTTTAAATGTCAGGCTTTTGTTGTGCTCCAACTCTACTGCAGAAAACCCCAGAATAGTCAGGCTAACTTCTGATCACGTTTTAAAAAAATGTTCATAAATATTTTATATTAAATTCTTAGGTCTCAAATCCTCTGTAGTAACAGAAGAACCCTTCAGAGTAGGGCTGATATGCTGGAGGACTTGACTGTGCCCCAGCACCTTCTCCATTCCCAGGGTCTGGTGCATCATACTATGACAATGGTAATCAGTTCTCTGCCAGCACCTAAGATGCTGTAAGAGCATTTGAGGCACTGTCCTTAAATGTATGGTCTCGTTTATCTACAAAACAATCCAGTCAGGTAGCCTTATTCTTTTTTCTTTTCTTTTCTTTTTTTTGTTTTTGTTTTTCAAGACAGGGTTTCTCTGTGTAGTGCTAGCCTTATTCTTTTCTCTGCTTTCAGGGTGAGGAACTTAGGACACACAAATAATGTGACTTTCCCCAAATCCCATTTATTGTAAGTGGGATCCAAAGACCCCAGATTATAAACAGAAGAGCCAGGATGTGAATACCAGCAGGCAGGCTTCACCCTCCACTTCTTAATCTCCCCAATTGGATGCCTTTGGTCTGTGTTTATTATGAAACAGGATTCACAAGGTGGGGAGGTGGCTTCCAAACCCCAAAGCTGCCTTATCTAAGGAAGCGAGCTTGCTCTCCTGTCCACAGCTGGTTCAAGTGCACCTTGGGTGCCACATGGTCACAGGCAGGACTTCCCCTGGAGAAATAACAGCAACATTGCAGAAACAAAACCTGCCTTTGAGAAAGAAGCACGCCTATCGGAGGATGCCCAGAGTGTAGCAAGAAACGCTTATAAAATCCGCCTCATCGGGATTGTCCTTTACTCCCATTCTGATATGTGTGTGTGTGTGTGTGTGTGTATGTGTGTGTGTGTGTGTGTGTATTCTGATATATATGTATATACACACACACATATGGGAGTAAAATATATATATATTAAAAATGACTTTGAATATATACATGGTAGGTTGATTCATCAAATCTTCCAAACTCTGCTAAGTTCCATGGAAAAGTAAAAGGGGAAAAAATTCTCGCAATAAGATCTTCTAAATTTAAAATAAGAATGAAAAAAATTTTAAATGTGTCTTTAAGCCTTTTTTTTTTTCAATCTTACGTTTGGAGCTGTACAAGGGGGAAGCAAAGATAATTTTAGCTTATGAATGTAACTATTTTTAGCCACTGAGATGTTGAATACATAAAAACATTTAAGAAAACGGGTCAAATGCTAAGCAGACTGGCGTCTCTTTGTTCATCATCGGAAAATCATTAGGCGGATACAAGCGAGAGTCTCAAAATGTCGGTGAATTTGAGGGTATCAAAGATTTCCGAGCCAGCGAGCTAATTGGTGTTTTGAACCTTTTGAACACCTGAACAAGGCAATGGATGAGCTTGCAGTTCCCCTTGATGTGACTGGGCGGATGAGTGCTTCTTATCTTCCCGCTCAGGAGGGCTGTTTTGTCAACTCTGAGCAGGAAATGGGCAGACCAAACAATCCAAGGCAGGGAACGAAGGCAGGAGGCTTGTCCAACAGAGGTAAATAAAAGGTAGATGCTTCCTCAAGTTTGCTCTCTAGTTCCTCCTGTTTTCTGATACTCACGTCTGGAAGCTGAGAGGTCCCGTTTCTCCTGATTACGTTATGTCCCCCTGAAATGGGGACCTTCATCCCCGTTCCTGCATCACTCAAGTCTGTACATTCAGCAAAGCCTAAGAGCTTCCGTGCTGGGTCCTTTTTGAGTTTTCCGGCAAAGTGCCTTGGAAGAGCCTCGTCTTCTCCCATCAAGGGCCTTGAGGAAAGGGGAGCCTTCCACACCCAGCTCATCAGTGGAGCCAAGAGAGTTGGACATCTTCATCCGTTCTCGGGTAGACTCCAAGGGCCATGGGGCGGTGCTGCACAGGTAACGAGGCTCCCAGAAGCCAGGCTGTTGAAGGCATCACAGAACACCGAGGTGCAGCTTCACTGTTCCCTGGTCAGAGGCTCCAAAGCAGGTTTCCTAGGAAGGTCTGCCCTGGGTGGACACATTAGCCTGCATGTGTTGAGTGTATGCTGGCAAATGTCTGAAGAAAGGCTAATAATGGTTTGTTTATTCTAGAAAGCAGTGCAATTTAGTAAAGAGACCAGAGCTCTGGTCTCCTTTGGACATATTTGGTAAGTAACCCAACACAATAAAAGATGTTTCACCTGCCTGGCAAGAAGGCCTGCTGTGCCAGATCCCACATGGGCTTGTTTCCAGTCACATCCTCTGAGCAGGAGGCCTGTATCCACCAGGACCCAGTCCCCGATGGCTGGTGATTCAATACACAAGGAAGCTCTTGGTTACTTTTCTCCCACGGGACTGGGATTAAATTCCCAGTACCTAAACAGTGGCTCCCAACCATCCGATCGGCATGAGCACAGGCATGCCTGGGATGTACAAACATACGTGCAAGCAAACCACCCATGGATGAAATAAAGTAACAATACTAATAGCTTTTAAAAGAATTGGCCTTATCAACTGACACATTAGCAATTTGCCAAGGAAACCAGTTTTCACCGTCCTCATCAACGCTTGCTGTTGTTGGTCTTTTCCGGTTAGCCATTCCAGTGAGTGTGAAGTAGTTCCCCTTGTAGTTCAACTTGCATGTCTGCAGTGCTAGGGGTACAAGGCATCTCTTCGTGTGCTTATTGCTCATTTGTGTAGCTTTTGTGAAGAAATGTTTATTCAAGCCTTTTGCTCGTGTTCTACTATGGATTTGTATGTATTCTGGACACTAGTCCCTTAGACACATAGAAATGTGATGGCCTATTGTTTTCTTCCATTCTCTGTGTGGTCTTTTAAATTTCTTGCTACAAGCCACAAAAATATGTGAAGTAGGATTTCAGCTGATTATGACAATACCTGGAAGAAGCCAAGGGCCTTCCAGAGGTCAAGCTGAGGCTCAAGGAGTCTTGGTGATACTGGCTTTTGATTATTAGCCATTTCCTACTATGAGTTTCTTGTGCTATTGTAGCTTTCCTGTCATTTATTGGGCACCATTTCCCCTCTACTAATGGAATATTTAGATAACCTTCTGTGCTGACAGGTATGCACAGCCAGAACCCCAGTTCAAGCCTCCTAGTAATTATCATAATTGGCAGCATCCAGCCAGGACCATCCCCGATGGACAAAAGCATCTTATTAGAGATACCTCTGTACTTTCTAAGAACAGACTTAAGCATCCAGACTATCTTTGAGAAGGCCTGGTGGATGTGCTAATTAAGCTTAACTTTCTCCCTTTCCGAAGTCTTATCTCTAGTTTTAGATCTACCTTTAACTATTAACTCAGAACTAAAGGGTTTCTCCTTACAGGTACATCAAGCTGATTCAGGCTGCCTGGCCATCAGTTACACTCCCCTGCCCTGCCAGAAAGCAGTAGCCAAGATAGCATGGACAGATAAGGGGCCAAGGAAATATAAGAGAGTTTTATTTTCACTGGTCGCTGATAGACTCCTGACACTTTAACTAACAACTTCTAAGAACACGGTTGAGCACATAAAACCCCCTTGCTCAGATATTAACTGATTTTAGCCCTCAGTTGATTCCGTTCCCCATTAGTCACTTCCCTTTTGGGTTGCAAATGATGGCTGGCAATTACGGATCTTTTGTGTGGATCTTATTGCTCCTCCTTTTGACTCTGAGGTAATTTAAGCCAGGTGATGTTGCTTTAACCAGAGCATTGTTATTGCATGGGTATATAACTGTAAACTTCAGACACTTGGGAGGACTAGACAGAGAAGAAAAAAGAGAATGGAAGAACTAGATGGGGAAGAACTGGAGAGGAACGAACTGAGATGGGGAAGAACTAGATTAAAGGTCTATAAGAGAGTACTAGAGGAACGAGATGGAAGATGAGGAAGAGCCAGATGGGGAAGAACAAGATAAGGAAGAAGGAGATGGGAGAGGAGCTGATATGGGAAAGAACTAGATGGATGAGAACCTAGATGAGGCAGAACTAAGAGGAGAGAATTAAGATAGAACTTAGAGGGCACCGCAGATAAATATAGAGAGAAATCAGGCAAGAAAGGAGCTAGGCACAAGAGCTGAACTGAAGCTGTGTAGACAGAATTTTATCCCAGAAGAATAAAGTAGACAGACAAAAGAGCTTGGTGTGCTTAGATTCATTTCCCGAAAATATTCTTGCCATTCATAGACTCTCCTCTGGGCCCCTTCTTTTGCCTCCTGCTCCTCTTTCTTTTTCTTCCTTTTTTTTTTTTTTTTTTTTTTTTTTTTTTTTTTTT